GATGACTTTTATTGTCCCATCTGGATATCCCATAAATATCCTCCTCTGGTTTTTGGATATCCCTAAGATATTTACTATATCCTTGGTGGATATCCTCAAGATATCTATAGGCCTAAAATGTTGACCAAAAACCGTTCTTTCTCTCAAGGTAAGGTATTTCTACTAAAATGTATACTCGTAGATATCTAGTTAAACTTATACTATTAATATTGTTTTAGGCTGGTTGTTTTTAATGAAATTTTTGCTTCATTAAAAAAAATAAAAACATATATGTAGCACGAAGCTATTCGAGGAAGGTGTGGCTCCGATATCGCTTCAGCCTATTACAATTTCATAAAAACCTGCAGTTCCGAAGTTACGAAATTTACGTTTTGGGTGGATAATTGCTCCGCCCAAAATAAAAATTGGGCGCTATACTCTACATTTGTATGCTTCGTTAATTCCGAGTGGGGCCCAGAAGAAATTACGCTAAAGTACTTCGAGCCAGAGGTCATTCTTATATGGCAGCTGATTCAGTCCATGGTCGCATTAGTCTCGAAATGAAAAAGTATCCAAACATATATGATTTTGACTAGCTTATAAATATTATCGAAAAATCTTTTAAAAAAACAAATGTTTAACTTTAAATATTTCCTATTTTTTCCAATTCAAAGATAAGTAATATAGATATAGTAAGATAGCAACGTAAGAATAATAACATTCCTCTTCTTGATAATATTAAAGTCGCCCACTTTCATAAGGGTTCTTCTAGTCTTTTTTATAAAAAAGAAATAACTGATGATACATTTACAGAATCAAGTTTTTTAAAAAATAAGTTTGACCCGAAACTACCGTCTTCCCCCTTTCTTGAGCCTCTAGGAATAAATACGCAGAAAAAGAAAAAAATATTAAATGTGCTTTGTCCTTCATTCGAAGAGGAAAGAAAGAAATTATTTTGGACCTATTTGCCATCTAATAATGACTCCCGAGATTTGTGTATAGTTTCAGAAAATTAATTAGTTTAGTCTATAACGTGTTGTTTTTGATTCAACTTGTCATGTTTTGTTTGTGGCTTGTAAGTAAGCAGTGGATACTTTAACTGCATTGAAATAAATTGATACTTTAACTAAAAAATGTATTATTATTCTTGTTTAAAATATAGTAAAACTACTTACTACTTTCTACTTCATGTGTATATTAATAAATTCATATTGTAACTAGAGATGCTAGTTTCTCATTACCTTCAGTATTTGTAGTAGGGGAAAGTGTCCAAAAATGACATAGCATGTAAAATGACATGCCGCCCATTATTTTGGAACTAGTGGTGCTATCTAGGATAAAGATGCGGTTTTGTGTAGCAAAACGCAATCAAACTTCACGTTGGCGCTCAGTTTGGTTTTCGGAAGAAGCAGTTAACCCCAAAAAATTGTTTTCACTAGCATACAAACTTTAAACGTGCTGTGCTGCAAGTGTGTTTTCATTACCAAATGGTGTTTGTTTTAAGGTGACATTACAATAAAATGTGTGTACTATAGATGTACTTACGTAGAATTGTCGTTCTAGATGAGATAAAAAAAAAATCAGGTAAAAACAGAGACCACGTGTTATTGTGGGTAAAATGACATAGGTATGCATGAATGTAGAATGATACACTATGCCATTTTACAACCACACTGCGTAAATCAATTTGAATTTAAAATGGTATCATTTTTTATTTTTATTTAGTGACACTATGGTGGGTAAACGGGAAAGGACATCAAGCAGACAGTCCTGGGACGAAAAATCAATGCGAAATGCTATTGATGCTGTTAAATCTGGTCAAATGGGATGGTTGAGAGCAGCCAAACTCTTTAATGTCCCTCAGGCCACGTTAAGGCGAAGAGCAAATGATGTTAACAAACGAGCCAAAGTTTGTGTAAAAGTTTTGGGGCGATTTTCAACCACATTTAGTGAGGGTGAAGAAAGAGACTTTGTTGAGCACATATTGTTACTAGAATCTAGATTATTTGGGATTACTACTACAGATATAAAAAAACTTGCGTTTGAATTTGCTACTAAAAATCACATTCCAAATAGATTCGACGTGCAGATTTTTGTTAATGACATAAATATGTGGTTTTTTTCAAAAATCAATTAACTACTTAGTCAAAACATCAAAGAGAGGCATCAACTACTTCGACATTACAATATTTGTATTTAATTTACTAATTATTTTTTGATTAATTTTAATCCAGAAAATTATTAACGTATCTCACAGGATACACCGCCATGATCACTACAAATAAAGATTTTTAAATTCCGTATCTTACAAGATCGTCGTGTTTATGTAGATATTTTTCTTCCAGAATTTTTCTTTTACCCAAGGTTACAGAACAAGAAAAATATTATCCTTGGTTCCAACTGGTTCCAAAGAAAAATATAGTCTGATACCCAGAGTAGCTCATCATCTGACGATGAAATACAACATACTTGCCGCCGTCGAATTGAAGAAAATGATACGTCCTCTGCGCCATCGATTTCTTCCTCACTAGAAAATTTAAGTATATTTTCCGAAAGCGAATCGGAAATTGTGATACTATGATATTGCTATGGAAAAGCTGTATACTTTTTCAGAGCATTTCAAAACAGCTGTTACTAAACCTGTATTAGTAGTAACCTAGGATCTAGAGGGAATTTGATTCACCAAACTCCAAGAACGGCCACACCGAATAGTTTAAGAAAACTGACGCCTTCCAATTTCCCGAAAATACCAGTCAGTGTTTCCCCGGCCAGTTTTACACGTCCTAAAAGACCCAGACTCAAAAACATTACGTTCTCTTTTCTTTATAAGTTTTAGTATTTCAATGTTAGTAATAATCGGCAATGTATATTTTAAGATACATTTATTATTTATCGTTAGTTTCTTCAAAATAGGCAATGTATCCTCTGGGATACATATAAAATCTCAACTACATTGATGTTACTTATTTCATTAATCATAAAATTTTAGGCAAAATCAGAAATATTTTCTTTTGCCAAGTAAAGGGTTAAGTAAACCAGATGTTTAACAAGAATTTTAGGTTAAGTTATTTTATAAATCGCTACATAGGGAGACATGAGACAGTTATTTTGGGTAGCCATAAGACGTCTCAACCCTCCCTATCTAGAATTTTCAATTAATTAAAAAATATTAAACTGAATAAAAAATAATATAATTAATATTCCTTTAGATAAAACATACCGCATTTTTGGATTAAAAAGACAAACCAAGTAGCTCCCTCGCCGGATGTTATGAAAACCGCTGTAGAAGAAATTCTTGGAGGAGCAAAATTACGCCCAACTGCGAGGAAATATGACATAGACAAGGAAACCCTTAACAGATATGTAAAAAAAAAGATCCTTGGGTCTCCCTGCCGGTAACATTACTTATTTGCCTGATTACAAAACTGCATTAGTATTTACCAATGAAGAAGCTCTTCTAGCGGATTATTTAGTCCATGCATCCCAAATGCATTATGGGTTAACGGTGACATGTGCACATCAAAAAGGCCAACCATAAAAATTACCCTAAAAAATGGGATGAACGATCCATCGCTGGTTATGATTGGTACCGCGGCTTTCGACATCGTCATCCCGAGTTATCGTTGAGGACTCCAGAGTCAATCAGTGTATCATGATGTACGAGTTTCAACCGCACAAATGTTACTGCCTTTTTCAATAATTTGGAATCGGTCTTTACCCGAGAAAAGCTTGAACCTCATCAAATCTGGAACACTGACAAAACAGGGCTAACGACCGTTCACAAACCACCTAAAGTCCTTGCAGCAAAAAAAAGGGTGTTAAACAAGTTGGAAACGTCATGTCAGCTGAAAGAGGCATATGTGTGTCTTAAAAGATTATTTAAAAATAAAATAAAGTACTGCAATTCTGTATCTAAAAATACAAGCCAAGATTTCACACCAATCGGCCCGTACTGCTTAGCCGCCGATTGTTCTTCCGTTGCTGTTCATAATGTTCTCGTGGGAAAATAAGCCAATTCTGACCTCTGGGACAAAAGGGAGCCCACATTTTCCCTAAAACAGGTGCCAGTTTTTCGCCAGGTAGATTCTTATCTTCGCCTTCCCTGTCGTTGTGGATTTCATCCGTAACCCTGGACAAGGGACCCTAAGCAGGTGCTGGCCTTCCGGGTCAGAAAGCCCCTGGAATCTGCGGTAGGCAGGGTGTGATTCATTTACCCTGATAGGACTATCCCAAAAGGAATTCCTACCCGCTACCAATATGGGTGCAAATAAAATACATTTTGCTGTCGTTTCACATACGCCATACGGTTTGAGAAAGCGTCACCACACATCACAAAATATCATTGAACTTAAATGGTATGTATGAGTCTGAAAAGAACCCATCACCTAACCAATTATTTTTGTTTATTGCTTATAAGCTCGTGTTGTAGAATGTAGAATGTTTAGGAGGGGAATTAACTTCCTTTTTAAATTTTTTAAATTCTTTAAGATTGTCAACATCATTAACCAACCATATGCGTGTCTTAAAAGGAGTTTATTTAAAAATAAAATAAAAACAGACAAAAAACCTAAAAAATAAATCTGAGATCAGCTGCAGTTGGAAAATAAACTTATAAAATAGAAGTATGCCATAAAGAATGCAAGAAATATATTATTAGCCCAAAGATTACAGTTGGAACCTTTGGTGTTACAACAGCAAAATAAAACACTAATTCGCCACAATACACCAAAACACTTTTACTTTTGCACTGCAAAAGTAAAGTGTTTGGTGTATGGTGGTTAACTAGTATTTTATTTTGCTAATATTTAAGAGTTCATTTCAGTGGTTTCGGAGTTATCCTGGAGACCCCCATTAAAGATAACCAAAACCTTCAGCCTCATAACCGCAGGTCGCAGCCAACAGCTGGGCTTAAGAAACTCGGGAACCCGGGTGCGTCAAACCCGTACCTGGACAAAATCCAAGCCCCTGGGGGTACAAAAATTACCATTTTTCTAAAAATAAATAATTAAAATTACAGGAACTAGCTCATTTGTAAATATATATTTCATAAACTATAATTAAATAACAACTTTTCATATTCAACAACTTCATTCACTTATTAAGCAAAAAATAAATACTATTACATCTATCACATCAAATCACTATATACATATGTATAATACGTATATATTATTACTCTCCAAACATGACGTCACAGATAATTAAAATAAAATTAAATAAAAGTATATATCACAAAGCAATGCAATTTCTTTTATTGTACAAGGTAAGCTCTATCCAGATTGGACAATACGGAGAGGCTGGTCCGCCCCAAGACCAGCCATTTGGAATGGCTAGGTGAGTTAATCCTTTGATAATTACGTCTTTATATCCTGTCAAGTTTTCACTCAAGGTGGAATTTGTAAGCATGTTAGACACTTGAAAGTTTTCATCATTTAAAACAGGAAAATTATTATTCGTTGATAATGGAAATACAGGTTTTAAATTGCCTATTGTTAAATGGTCATCTAAAATAAGAAAATTAAATAATTTTTTGTAATTTCATATGAATAACGGCCGTATTCATAGTCGAGCGCCAGCCGCCCGCCGAAAAGAAGCGCTTGCCGAAGATTTCTCCGGCGAGCGCTTCGATATCGGGAGAGAAAAATCTCTTTCATAGTCAGCCGCCAGCGCACCGCTGGTTGGCGAAAATGAGTGTGTCGCGCCGCACAGTGGAACGAGCTTATGGGAGCTGTTGGACATGAGGTTTTCTTCTCAACACTTTTAATCCAAAAGACGAAAAAATGATTTTTATATACCGTAATAATGTATAAACAGAACAATTTTAAACTTTAATGAAAGAAACTGGTTGGCTCGTTACAAACCATCTACAGGGTGACCTAAAAATATAGTATGTTTTGGAAAAATCTTACAAGTTTTAAATGCTTATAAACTTTGCCAAACTGTCGTGGAATGTTTTAGTTTTGATCCTTTTAAAAAGAAATAGCTTTAGATTTTACCACTGAAATCTAAGACTACTGATACCGTGTTATAAAAATATGGTAATTAAGGGCTTACATATATTTTCCTATTTAATATAACTTTGCTAATATCTTCGATTTGAAAGAAGATATCAAGATGCGGTTTTCACTGACTTTTTAAGCTTTCATTACTCTTTACTATCAGCTAAAATGGCATATACCATCGCATTTATTTTTTTTTTTGAAAAAACGCGCAATGTTTGTTAATTTGTAAGACAGCGCCCCCTAGCATCTACGTTCAAAAGCTTACTATTATTGTTTATATGGTATAATATAGAGTAAGAAACGGTCTTTTAAACGAGCCCCCGTTAATTGGATTCCGTCCATCCAGTCCGGAATTATTAATACTTAAATAAAAACAGATCTAACCTTCCCCCACCACTTTATTTTTGCAGATAGGGAAAATGGTTCTAACAAAAAGTATTCAGAATTTACTGAAGATTATGAAGCTATTATTTATAGTACCCCTTATCTAGGCAAAGTTGTGTAAAAACTCCATTTTCTTATTTTTTATAGCAGTTGCGCCCTCTAGCGGCCATTCTACAAATTTGAAAATAATTTCCAGCATTTTCTCATGGTCTCTTTAGTTAAGAATATTTTTTCCGCAAGCCTCACGGCTAATACTTTCCGAGATATAGCCGAGAGCTATTCTTAGTGGGACACCCTGTACAATAACTTTATTATAAGCAAAGAATATAACAGTAAATCAACGCACTAGAATATTTTTATTATATGTATGTATAACAAAAAACCTCAATACTGCACTTTAACCCTCTTTCCTTTTCCAATAGTTTATAAGTTTTCCATATATTTGTAGCACCCTGTATCTGTTTTTGATTTTAGCGTCATTTTGTATTTATCCAATTAATAATTAAATATTAATAAATTTATAAAAAAATAAAGATAATTTGACTCTAAAAATTTTAAATTAATTTATTGGAATTGAAAAGGTTTTTGATTTTAGTATAACATGTATTAGTAATATATTAAATGGAAATTTTTAGAGGGGGGCAAGCTGGGGCAAGATGTTAAATTAGTTTCGTTATTAGAAAGGCTTAATCTACCTTGTGATATATATAAAGTCTTGGCCAACTTTGGCCATTTTTTTATTTTTCTACATACACATTTTTTTGCTACTAAATATAGTATTTGGCAGCAAAAAAATGTTTATGTGTCTCTTATATACAATTGTTCTCCCAAACTTTTAGTGACTATATATATATATATATATATATATATATATATATATATATATATATATATATATATATATATATATATATATATATATATATCTTTATTTTAAAGTGAAAACAATCGTTTGCACTAATATGTATGGTTAAAAAAAATTATTAATGTCTTTGCCAGTTTTTATAAAACTAGGTTGTTTCACAAGAAATGAATACCATAATTAAGTCAGTGTAATATCTTCATTTGAAACTTTTCAAACAGACATATAATTAAAAATATTTTTTTGAGTTGGATAAAATATTACTGTCTGGACTTTAAGTAATTCAAATCTTCTACCAAAATTATTTAATTTAAAATTTTATTTTTAAGTCAATGTCCAACATTTTATATTGGGTCTTTCCACCGTGCGCCGCCGCACGGTGGGGTATTAGCATGAAAAAGGTGATCGAAATTCAAAAAAGCAAATGTGTTTAAGATTTCCCAAAAAAGGATAAATGATAAGTTAAATCATCTCTGCCATGAATGGCGTTGCTATGGGTGTGTTAAGTTGCATTCATTTGTTTCAACGAAACGTCAAAGTTGTTACTTCTCACAGATAACAGGTAAATGGCTAAATTTTATGTTTAAAATTATAAATTGTTGTTGTTCTTGTGCTCTTTTTACGTTTATATTATTGTTTTGATTGAAAATGGCTCAGCAAGCTGCAGGTATGTATTCTACAAAGACCTATTATTTATTTTGATATTCTCTATACTAACGATTTTTTTGCAACTAAAAGTTAGGCGTTCAGAAAATTTGATTAAATTTCTGACATTCTTATTATACTTAGAGATTTAGTTGCGCATTTCGAAGAATTCAGCATATTGTCTAAATACGTTTTACTCAGTAAACATTGGGCTTTTATACAGTAAAATAAAATACTGCGACTTTTTGCGACTTTGCTGATAAAATGAGAAAAACATTCTTAGTTTCCTCTAATTTGCCAATCAGTGATATACTAATGCGAGGTGTAAACCGCGATGACATTGTTGTGTACAAAGCGATCGCATTAGGGCCATTAGCAGTATAGCACAATTTGGCATTAGTAGCGACTTTAGTGGTACGGGCGTTGCTCGCGGATCAGTCGTAGCATTAGTACCGTAAAATGGGGGGAATAGAAACATAGTGGTGAATAGAAACAAAATTTCTGAAAAAAATCAAATCACGATTAAAAATATTCCATGTAAAAAGAGTCGACATTTCTAATTTTTCTATCATTGGTAATACACAATAAATAGTAAAAACTATATTTTTGTCTGTGGCAGCACTATTTCTGTCAATCAGCTGATCAATAAATGTGAGATCGATTTATCACCTATTTTGTATGGCGCGAAAACTTTATAAATAAAATATTTATTTTTAAAGTAATACATAAGTAGATATATAAGTTGTTATATTATATGTATTGCTAATTATTGTTAAACCTACTTAAATATGTAATAATTTACTGTTTCTAATCACCTTGTTGGAATAGAATAGATAAAAACATTAACATCAATGTGTGTTTCTATTCTCCCGAACAGCACGTGAATAGAAACACAAATATTATTTTTATTTAATATTTATATGCATATTTTTCAAAAATCAAATTATATGTATACGCAAAGAACAAACAAAGACCCATGTTTTAAAATATTCGGGAAAGTAATACCACATTTTTATCAACCGGTATATCGCTAATAGCCTACGAAACAGTTTCTATTCATCCCATTTTACGGTAGTATTAGTTGCGATATTACTACTGGCATTAGTGGCATTGACCGTGGAAACACTGAAACAGTCATTTTTCTTTCTTTTTTTATAATCGACGAATTATCCTTTATTTTGTTCATATTATTTCCTCTTTAATTGAAAATAGCAATAATTTATATAAAGTCTACATACAAAAATTTCGATCAACTATCTGTGTCAAATACCCCACTGTGCGCCGACAAAATTTCACTTCCCCCGGGTAACAACAGGGAATATTTTTTCTTCCTTTTTCTACAGTTCTTTCGTTCGTCTCCCCGATTTTCTTACACAAAATCGGTTAGACGAACTTTAATATTGTCTAAAAAAAAGTGTAATTTAAATATTTTATTGATTTGTCCATTATTTTGTTATAATTCCTTTTAAAGTAATGAATAATATCTTCGTAATCCTTCACTTATACTAAAAAGATTTACAATTTTTTATATACCTACATATTTTTTTGACTAGGTATTTTTTGAGTTATAATAAAAAGGGTATTAAGATAATTTATATAATGGGGAATTCCTTAGGTCTGTTCGGTTATTTGAAAGTTTTATGGATTCGTTTTTATTATGTTTATAAATTTTTATAGACCTTAACCTTAACCTATTTTGATGCTGTGTTTAGGATTTTAAAATGATTTTAAGGGAAAATGTGACCAGTGTAGAAGTAATTTATATTTTTAAATTGGCTCAATTTTTGTTTTGTGTAGATGACTGATGTTTTGTGAATTTGGTATATTTTTACAGTTTGTGTAAATTACAAAAAGAATTAATGTAATAAACATAAAAAAATAGAAAAAATAAATTATAAACATGACAAAAACAAAACAATAAAACATTTAAACGGTCAAATAGACGAACAGAATTCATATGCCTTAAATGTAACGAATAATTGCCAAAAAATGAATGTCATCGTTCTCGTCGATTTCTGCATTTAATCGTACAATATTATAAATATCCATAATTAATTCAGTTTGATTGGTGCTTCTTTCAACTAGAGAAATAAACCAGACTAAACTGACGAGCCGCCCGGAGATGGTAAGGACATGCTCCAGTCGCCGGCCGAAAATCACCGGATGGAGTTTAAACTGCGCAAGTGTTCTTCGCCTGGAGATCGACTATGAAACGGAAAAAAATGCTTATCCAACCGCCCATGGGCGAGAGAGCGGTTACTCTATATGACGGATGTACGCATGCGTTACTCGGAGAGCGCTCGACTCTCTCGCCGGCGCACAGTAGGCAATATGTCCAAACCAAGTTGCAAAAAATAACATCCACAGTTAGCAATTATGGCAATAACATTAGATTGGAAACATATTAGTTAAGAGGAAACCACATAAAACTAACAAAAAAACATATTCGGAGTCTCTTTCGAGGGGCTGTAAAACGAACTTTGCGCAAAACCTACATTTTCAGTTAATTTGTGCCTAATAACTGCCTTTTTTCTACAATTTTTTAAATAGTAGGCGTTGCATTCAAGTGACACAGTATTATAACAATTGAATCGGACGACCTTAGCTTGCT